TGATTTCTGAAGCATCTTAGAAAAAGGTACATGAATTATGTTAATTTGTTTTACTACCTTTAAGACCTTAGTAAGCTTGGAAATGTTTAGATAGTATCATTTCTTGAAAAGAATGTGTATTCTCTTGTTGGATGTAGTATTCTATACATTTAAATTTGGTTAATATTGATAGTGTTATTCAGACTGTTTATAGCTCACTTTTTTATTGATAGAAGCATTTTAAAATAGATATAGTTGTGATTTTCTATTTCTCCATTTAATTCTATTTTTCTTCATGTATATGGAAGCTCTGTTAGACACATACACATTTAAGATTGTTAGTCTTCTTATGAATTAACTCTTTTTATCTTCATGAAATGTTCTTCTCTGGTCATAAAGTTTGCTTTATCTGATATTATCATAGCCATTTCATCCTTTTTTTGCTGTTTGTGTAATATATCTTTATTTATACTTTAACTTTCAGAGTATCTGTGTCATTGTATTTAAAGTGTATTGCCTGTAGATAGGATATAGTTAGATCTTGCTCTTTTTTTTTTTTTTTGAGACAAAATCTCGCTGTTGTCAGTATGGGCTAAAGTGCAATGGCACAATCTTGGCTACCTGCAATCTCTGCTTCCCGGGTTCCATTAATTCTCCTGCCTCAGCCTCCTGAGTACCGGCATCCACCACGACACCCAGCTAACTTTTGTATTTTCAGTAGAGACAGGGTTTCACCATGTTGGCCAGGCTGGTCTCGAACTCCTGACCTCAGGTGATCCACCTGCCTTGGCCTCCCAAAGTGCTGGGATTACAGGCATGAGCCACTGTGCTCAACCAGATCTTGCTTTTTTTAAAATCCAGTCTGACAGTTTCCATCTTTTAATTGAGATTTATTTATTCATTTACATTTAATGTAGTTGCTAATATGGTGGATTATTTTTGTCTTTTTCTTTTTTCTTTTTTTTTTTTTGAGACAGAGTCTCACTCTGTTGCCCAGGCTGAAGTGCAGTGGCATGATTTCGGCTCACTGCAACCTCCACCTCCCAGGTTCAAGTGATTCTCCTGCCTCAACCTCCTGAGTAGCTGGGATTATAGGTGCCTGCCACCATGCCCAGCTAATTTTTGTACTTTTAATAGAGACTGGGTTTCACCATGTTGGCCAGGCTAGTTTTGAACTCCTGACCTCAAGTGATCTGCCCACCTTGGCCTCCCAAAGTGCTGGAATTACAGGCATGAGCCACTGCGCCTGGCCCCAAACTCTGTTTTAATAGTTCTTCAAGCTTGTGAGACTGAGCATTTCTATCCAACTTGTATTTATCATTTGAGTGGTACCAACTACTGCCTTCCCTCAGGTGAAAAAAGAAGCTGTAAAAATGGAAAACTTACCGAGTATGATTTTCATTTTCCTAGTGTCAACTCCCATTCAGTTTCTGCATGCTTTTTTGTTGTCGTTCTTCTCTACTGCCTTTATATTTTTTCAAGAATATGTAGTTATTCTATGGAAGGCTTGGCCTTATAGGATCTACCTGGACATTACTAGAGGCAGAACTTCCTTACCATCTTTTCTTAGCCTGGAATTCAGAACCTTATGTTTATTTTTGTCCTAACCTATTTTTCCATTCTTATTTTCTATTATTACTGTCTGTGTAGCCACTTTTCAACTGATAATTGATTTTTCATTCCTTAGAACATTTAATAAATTCTCATCTTATATCTTTGCTTACATTACTCCCTTTACAATGCGTCTCACATTTGCCTTTTGCTGGAATCTTTACTATTTTTCAAGTCCTTATTAAGCTCTATCTACCTTTTTATGAAGCCTTTCTTAATCAGTTTTGCAGAAGGTTCTTCTTACCAGGTTTGTTCTTTATTTGATATTTCTTCTCTTTACATTTTCCTTGTTTTGAGGAAAAAATTTATATAGTTCAAATATGTAGGAAAAATAAGCTTTGCAGAACAATTTCCCTCATATACATGCCCTTTAGAATTGTTTGAGATAACTGTAAAAATTAATTGGAGAGAGCTGTTACAGAAGCTTAACAGAGGCTGGGCACAGTGGCTCATACCTGTAACCCTAGAACTTTGGGAGGCTGAGACCAGAGGATTGTTAGAGCTCACAAGTTCAAGACCAGCCTGGGCAACATAGCTCCCTATGTCTCAATCTCTACAAAAGAATTTAAAAATTAGCTTGGTATGGTGGCTTGTGCCTGTAGTCCCAGCTACTCAGGAGGCTGAGAATCACTTGAGCCCAGGAGGTTGAGGCTGCAGTGAGCCGTGATTGTGCCACTGCACTCCAACCTGGGCAACAGAGAGATCTTATCTCTAAAGAAAATAAAAAAGAAGAAGAGGTTTACAGACTTTTCAATCCCTTAGGAATAGTAGTTTCACAGCCAGCTCTTTCAGCTCTATGTGTAAAGTGTTCCCCGATGACTGTCAGAGTAAGCAAAGGGGTTAAATAAAAAGAGCTGGTTGTTCATCACCAGCTGGAGTGGGAGAAGGGACAGAATGGTAGACTTCTTTCTGCCATCCTCTGTAGCTGCTTTGCTTCCTTATTCTTTCTTATCTCTCTGCCCCACGTCCAAGGCTTAAAGTATACAATGATGACTATTACTGATTAAACATCATTAGGAACAAAGCCTTATGGAGAGGTCACTACAATTCCTCCTCTGGCAAGAGCTACCAGAACTATGATCCACTTTCTAAAGTTGCCTGAAGGGAAGTGCAAATATCCCAGTCTGCATTCAGAAGAAAATCCCAGATGTATAGGCTGCTTTTTCATGAGTTTGCAAATCATCTTTTTCTTTCCCCTCACTAGTGCTCTTGCCTTCTCTCCCTGGCAGTCACATGATGACATCTTGCCCCAGAAGCCATTTTAATCCTTATTTAATGCTTGTACTCTAAAGTGGTTCTTTTCTGAATGACTGGGAGCTTCAAGTTTCAAGGTCATAATTAACTTTAGCACTGATTCCTGTGTGACTTAGGTGCTTATGGAAGTAAATACAAATGGCCAACTGAAATTTTATTTATATCCAGACATCTTGCCATTCTTCTTAGCAAGAAAAGATAAAGGAGTCGCTGAGCGTACTCTAACTTTTCTGCATGTATTTATAGTTTGAAAACAATTTCTCGAGCTGAGCACTGTGGCTTATGCCTGTAATCCCAGCATTTGGGAGGCCAAGACAACAGGATCGCTTGAGCCCAGGAGTTGGAGGCCAACCTGGGCAATGTGGTGAAATCCTGTTTCTACAAATAATTTTTAAAATTAGCCAGGCTGGCCAGACATGATGGCTCAACGCCTGTAATCTCAACATTTTGGGAGGCCAAGGCAGACAGATCACTTGAGATCAAGAGTTCTAGAACAACCTGGCCAACAAGGTGAATCCTGTCTCTACTAAAAGTATAAAAATTAGCCAGGCATGGTGGCACGTGCCTGTAATCCCAGCTACTTATGAGACTGAGGCAGGAGAGTCACTTGAATCTGGGAGGCGAAGATTGCAGTGAATGAATTTTAATTGTTTTGAATATAGACTTACTAAATCAGCGAGAACCTGTGTAGACACAAGTCAGGATTTTGTCTAAGGATGGTAAAAATACATATCTGGGGCTATGTTTCCCTGAAAGTTAAATGAGAGTTAAATATTGTAAATATGGAATAACTTTTGAAACCACACAACACTACAACTACCATTACTACTGATAGCTAACTTTCACCGAGTACTTACTTGAGCCAACACTGATCTAAACCCTTTACATTGATCTGAGCCCATTTACCCAGCAGATAAAAACAGAGTCAGAGAAAACCCAGGTTCACCTTTCCTACCTAGGTCAACTGAACACTAAGCAGTAGCATAAAGGGGCCCATCCCACCAGCTAAAGTGCCAGGCTCTTTGTGGCTCTACTTGTGATGTTTATGCTTCATGTAAAATTCTGGTGTCCATGTTTGCTGAGCCTTAATGGGGCAAGAGCTATTTCTTAGGATATAAGTAGATACGTATCAATGTTGTAAATACAATAGGTAGAAAACGTATTTTTTCTTTGTTTAAAGCAAAAACATGGCCAGGCACAGTGGTTCATGCCTGTAATCCCAGCACTTTGGGAGACCGAGGCGGGTGGATCACATGAGGTCAGGAGTTCAAGACCAGCCTGGTCAACATGATGAAACCTGTCTTTACTAAAAATACAAAAAAATTAGCGGGGCGCAGTGGTGGGTGCCTGAATCCCAGCTACTCGGGAGGCCGAGGCAGGAGAATTGCTTGAACCTGGGAGACAGAGGTTGCAATGAGCTGACATTGCACTACTGCACTCCAGCCTGGGCGACAAGAGGGAGACTGTCTTAAAAAAAAAAAAAAGAAAAAGAAAAAAAAAATTTAAATTGGACTTGTATTTAGAATTGTTTTAAAAACACTTATTGGAGGCCCACATATGTGCATAGGAAGAAGTTGGAAATACTCTACTCTTTTGGTAGGAAAAATTAACATCACTTCAATATGCAGTTTTCTTTTTTTTTTTTTTTTTTTTTGAGACGGAGTTTCGCCCTTGTTACCCAGGCTGGAGTGCAATGGCGCGATCTCGGCTCACCGCAACCTCCGCCTCCTGGGCTCAGGCAATTCTCCTGCCTCAGCCTCCTGAGTAGCTGGGATTACAGGCACGCACCACCATGCCCAGCTAATTTTTTGCACTTTTAATAGAGACGGGGTTTCACCATGTTGACCAGGATGGTCTCGATTTCTCGACCTCGTGATCCACCCGCCTCGGCCTCCCAAAGTGCTGGGATTACAGGCTTGAGCCACCGCGCCCGGCTCAATACGCAGTTTTCTAGTTTGAACCCACATGTGGAATTTAGAGAACTGGAATTTTATTTTAGTGTATTTAGATGAAATAGTCAAACATTATCATACCTGTAAGACAGATTTTTAAAATATTTTAGTACTTGAAGTCAGTATCAGTAAGATGATTTTAATATTATATCATGAACAAGAATCATGTGTAGAAATAATGAAAATTGCTTTCCTGGTTTTTAGATGTGTGGTTTTTAACAACAGAGGAGTGGCGGGGGAGAATCTCTTGGTAAGTAAATTTAAATGATAACAGTCTTAATTTTTTAAAAGAATCATTTCTAGTTTTATAACAAAAAGCATATTCTTTTTGTTTAAATAACTCTTTATGTAAGCAATACAAATTTATTATAGAAAAATACAGATATGGAAAAAAAGGAAATTTACAAGACCCATTATTATATAGCCAGGGAAATTCCCTTAGTCTGTTTTCATTCAGATTCTATATATATAAGAAAAAGTAATATATTACTGTCTTTATAAAAATTAAGATTCTATTTGGTAACTGAACTTTTGTACTTACTATATTTTAACATCAATAGTTATTCACCTACATCATTTTTTTTTCCTGCCCTCTCAACCCAGCTTTTTCTGACTTGGAAGAGAACTGGGAAGAGAAGGCTTCATTTTTAATGCAAAACACATTATCTTTAAAAATTAACCAATGCGGGCCGGGCGCGGTGGCTCAAGCCTGTAATCCCAGCACTTTGGGAGGCCAAGGCGGGTGGATCACGAGGTCGAGAGATCGAGACCATCCTGGTCAACATAGTGAAACCCCGTCTCTACTAAAAATACAAAAAACTAGCTGGGCGTGGTGGCGCGTGCCTGTAATCCCAGCTACTTAGGAGGCTGAGGCAGGAGAATTCCCTGAGCCCAGGAGGCGGAGGTTGCGGTGAGCCGAGATTGCGCCACTGCACTCCAGCCTGGGTAACAAGAGTGAAACTCTGTCTCAAAAAAAAAAAAAAAATTAACCAATGCAAAACAAATTAATACAGTGACTTTTTTTCACTTACGAAATTTGTTTGTCATGAAACAATTTTGTATGTTATGTGCCTGTTTGCCAGCTGAAGTTTACATGGTAGAAATGTTATTGAAACCTTTTAAAATTTATATCAGATCTTTTTTTTCCCTCCAATTCTGAGTTTTTGCTAGGATAGATCTTTCACCTCTTAGAAAATCACTCTGTCTGATGTTTAAATCTGTGAGTTGGAATGAGAAATATTCTACTAGCTAGAATGTTCTTTAGCTTTTTAACTTCATTTTTTACAATCTGAAAAGGTCAAAGGCAATTATACTAGAATAGAAAGAAACTTTTTCGGGTCATTGATAGAGAATGACATTAAGACTATAAATAATTAAGTCATGCTGGAAATAAAAATTTACAATCAGGTCACAAATGTCAACACTTTATAAGAACTTGGGAAGAAAAAAGCTCTTACTGGAGGGAATGAAGATAAATACGATTTCAAAAGCAAAGGTTATAGAGTGTTATGGTCTTACACAAGTGCCTTGTAGTAAATGTGAAAGTTCACATTTCCTCATTCAGTCCAGCCCTTTAGGAATCTCGTAGACAGATAATATACTCTAAAGGGAAAGATTTGAATGTGTCACTGTGGCCCTGGCCCAGGCAGATCATTTTGAGCAGCTCTTGTCTGCTGTACATTCTTCCAGGACACAAAGCGGGGGAAGATGTGGTCTGAGCCTCTCAGGGAAATAATGTGCTGCAAAGCCGAGCTAGTTAGTTCTCTGTAAAGTGAAGGACAAAGATCTGTTCATTGAGCAAAGCCATGGTGTGTGCCTGTTAAATCAGGCACTGTGCAAGGCAATAGGGTGAAGATATACATATTAATGAGACACAGCCCTAATCTTCAGGAGCTCAAACTTTAGTTGTGGAAGAGAGTCAAGTCAATAAAAATATACACAGTGCTAAGTGTAACAGTAGCCTTTATTAAAGCTACAGAGCACAAAGGGAAAAAGTAACAAAGCACCTGGGGGAGGTGGGAGAACTTAGAGAGGAGTAGCATTCTGAGTTGGATCTTGAAGGCTGTGGTATTGAACCTCCAAAGGGAGGAAAGAGGCTCTCTCAGCACAAAGAGCAAGGTAGTAGAAAGTGCATGGAATAGCAACTACTTACTGTGGCTGGATGATGATGATGATGATGGTGATGATAATTTTATCTAATATTTATATAATCTATAGAATGTATCAGTTACATCTTTTCCTATTTACTATTAAGAAACAGAAACAACCCAATGAATTAGGTAAGTATAGTCACCATTATCCCCCATTTCCTTTTTCCTTTTGGAGACAGGGTCTTGCCCTGTTGCCCAGGCTGGATTGCAGTGGCACAATCATGGCTCACTGTAGTCTCAAACTCCTGGGCTCAAGTAATCCTTCCACCTCAGCTTCCCAAGTAGCTGGAACCAGAGGTGCGTGCCACCATGCCTGACTGATTATTGATTGATTGATTGATGTGTAGAGATGGTGTCTCACTCTGTTGCCCAGGCTGGTCTCAAAACTCCTGGACTCAAGTGATCCTCCCAAAGTGCTGAGATTCCGGGCATGAGCCACTGTACCTGGCCCTATCCTGCATTTTACAGATGAAGAAAACAAGACACTGGTAGGTTAGGAACTTACTCCAGCCAATAAATAGCAGAGCCAGGATTCAGACCTAGGTGATCTGACTATGTGCTTACATTCTTGACCATTATGCCTTCTTACTATTCCAGAAGTGACAGGAATTTTTCTAGAAGGGTAGGACCAGATTTTAAAGAATCACATGTAGAATCCTAAGAAACCTGGTATTGAACCATTGATGTTTTGAAGCAAGGGCATAATTTGATCATGGTCATGTTTTAGAAAAAGAACCGTGGCAGTGGTGTGTAGGAAAGAAAGATGGAAGGGAAGGACACTGGAGGCTGGGAGGCCAGTTAGAAAGCAGTTACTACAGACCCACGTGGAGTTTGGAGTTTGAATGCAGATGGAGGAGGAATAAAGAGGAGAGAGCAAAACTAAGTAGTATTCATGGGGAAGAAAATAGTTATTAGTTGTATTGTGGGAAGTCAAGACAAGGGAGTCAAGGGTAACATTTCAAGCTTGGCTGGCTGATGGAAGATGCTGGTATTTGCTGAAATAGGAAATTTAGGAGAATTTGTGAGATTATGATGTAACAAAGATAAGAGATTTCATTTTAGATGTTTAACGTGTTTTTAGATCATCCTGGTGGAAATTTCAATAAATTTTTGGATGGACTGGACTGGCCTTCAGGAGAAGTAGACAAGCAAGAGAGAGAGGGACTGAGATTATCAGTGTGCAGGTAGAAGTTGAAGTTCAGGAGTAGTTGAGATTAGTTAGGGCATGTGTAGAGCAAAAGGGTAGGTTGATGGTTGGAAGCTTAAGAAACAACAGACTGGGAGTGGTGGTTCACACCTGCAATCCCAACACTTTGGGAGGCCAAGATGGGAGGATCACTTGAGCCCAGGATTTCAAGACCAGCCTGGGCAACATATTGAAACCCTGTCTCAAAAATATATATATTTACATTTTAAAAAGAAAAAAGAAACAACAAATAGGAGAGAAAAAGAGGAGAAGGATGCTTTAAAAACATTCTCTCCTTAAAGTTAATTAGGGCCAGGCATGGTGGCTCACGTCTGTAAACCCAGTACTTTGGGAGGCCAAGGCAGGTGGATCACGAGGTCAGGAGTTTGAGACCAGCCTGGCCAAGATGATGAAACCCTGTTTCTACTAAAACTACAAAAAATAACCAGGCATGGTGGCAGGCGCCTGTAATTTCAGCTACTTGGGAGGCTGAGGCAGGAGAATTACTTGAACCTGGGAGGTGAAGGTTGCAGTGAGCCTAGATTGCACCACTGCACTCTAGCCTGGGGGACAGAGCAAGACTCAAAAAAAAAAAAAAAAAAAAGTTAATTAGAAATTTGCTTTGAAATAGTGTAGCAACCCAGTAACTTTCAGCTCATAAGCTTTAATTGTATTTTTTAAAAATCTCCAGGAAGAATTCACTGAGTTCTAAGTAAGAGTAGCTGGGTCTCTGGAGTCTTACACAGTGTGTTGGTTAAATTTTGATTAACTAGTAGCCCCCAGCAAATACGTGTCTCAAAATAGCTAATAACACACTAAGTTGTTAGAGTTACAGTCTGGCAGGCAGCTTGGGTGTATGTAGCAGAAAGTACCTCAGACTCAGTAAGAAGTCCCAAGTTCAAGTTCTGTTGTCACCACTAACCAGCTATAAGTGATAAAGTACAAGTCAAATAAACTTCCTCTCTTTTTCTTCACTGAAAAAGATAATAATATGCACTTGCCACTTCGCAAGGATGTTTCAAGTTCACATTAAATAATAAACAGGAGGCTGGGGGCGGTAACTCATGCCTGTAATTCCAACACTTTGGGAAGCCAAGGCCGGCGGATCACTTGAGGCCAGGACTTCAAGATCAGCCTGGTCAGTGTGGTTAAACTCCATCTCTACTAAAAATATTAAAAAACTAGCCAAACGTGGTAGCACACACCTTTAGTCCTAGCTACTTGGAAGGCTGAGGCAGGAGAATCACTTGAACCCAGAGGCAGAGGTTGCAGTGAGCCGAGATTGCGCCACTACACTCTAGCCTGGGTGACAGAGCAAGACTCCATCTCAAAAACAAACAAACATAAATAATAAACTTGAAATATCTTGAAAAATAAAGCTTTTTAGGGCCATGCATAGTATCTTCTGCCTGTAATCCCAGCACTTTGGGAGGCCAAGGCAGACAGGTAACTTGAGCCCAGAAGTCCAAGACCAGCCTGGCCAACATGGTGAAACCCTATCTCTATTAAATTAAAAAATAATAAATAAAAATAGGCTGGGCACGCTGGCTGTAATCCTAGCACTTTGGGAGGCTGAGGCAGGCAGATCACCTGAGGTCAGGAGTTCAAGGAGTTCGAGACAAAGCTGGCCAACATGGCGAAACTCCGTCTTTACAAAAAATACAAAAAGTAGCCAGGCATAGTGGGACATACCTGTAATCCCAGCTACTTGGGAAGCTGAGGCAGGAGAATCACTTGAACCAGGAGGCAGAGGTTGCAGTGAGCCCAGATCATGCCACTGTACTCCAGCCTGGGCAACAAGAGTGAGACTCCATCTCAAAAAAATTAATGAATTAATTAATTAAAATTAAACTGAGCTGTTTATAATCCAAGGCATGATTGCTACTATATTAACTCATTAGATCATTAGAGTAT